GTGTGTGTGTGGTGTGTGTGTATGGTGTGGGGGTGTGTGTGGGGTGGGGGGGGGGGGGGGGTGGGGGGGGGGGGGGGGGGGGGGGTGTTGGCAATGTGACCATGTTTCATGTTACACCCTGAATATGGTAATATGAAACATAGTTTAACAGGTAAACTTAACCTTTAGAGAATAAAACAGAATAGGGACGAAAAGCTACCACTTCTGAGCCTAAAATAGTGGGAAATGTTTAAGCAACCAGCAACTGTTGAGAAAAAAAATACTTTGGTCAGGTACAGGGATGCACTGACACTGATATCAGTATCGGTGCCAATACTAGGCATTTTCACCAGTACTCATACTTGTGAAAATGCCACAATACTAAATGCAGATACCGGCGGTTTAGATTTTTAAACTGAAGTGGCTGCCTGAGGTCCCGCACTTTCTGCCTGCTTACAGCACCGGCTGTAAATCCTCTCTTCCTTACTGGGGAACCCGGGACCTGCCCGCGAGACCCTCCAGACCCCTGATGTGACCCTGCACAGCCAACCTGAGACCCTGCACAGCTCTCCTAAGAACACACACAGCCCTCTTGAGACCCTGCACAGCCCTCTTGAGACCACGCACAAACCTCCTGAGACCCCGCATAGACCTCCTGAGACCCCACACAGCCTTCCTAAGACCCCGCACAGCCCTCCTGAGACACCACACAGCCCAGCTGAGACCCCACAAATCCCACCTAAGACCAAGGAGATATCAGGCCACCACCCTGGAGCAACACAGAGTATGTAGCGTCATATTATTCTGCATTGCAGTATAATTTATTGCTGGGATTTGTAGTCCTATATAGCTGATGATATTCGGCATTGCAGTATAATGTATTTCTGTAATTTGTAGTCCTCTAAAGCTTGAAGTCAGTGGCAAAACTACCAGGGTTGCAGTGGTTACAGCTAAGACTGGTCCCTGGTGCTCCATCACTGTCCTAAAATTATTAGTCTGTATTGTTTTAGAAAAACTGTCACATGACAATTTGAGGAAAAGTATCAGTACTTGTACTCCTAAGTCAGGAGTATGTAAGGCACTTTGTTATGTAAAATACAATGTACAGAGTGCAGCGGTCAGCAGTATTTATCATAGAGCCCCTTACATTGCTGGTCAGTATGAGGACAAATGGTGTTGATGGTCGGTCTCCACTAGCTCTGTCCAATTGTTTTTATTTTGCCGGCATCTGTCAGAATTTCATCTTACGGTAGGAGTTTGTCGCATGCAGACAAGTGGGCGGGCATCTGGGTTTTTTAAAATTTTGACAATTCGGCATCATCTTGGACAATGCTGGACGTCGTGATTGACCCTTGGATTACGACAGTGGATTAATTTTTTTAATTTTTGGTGTTTTTATTTTTTTTAATTAAAAGGACTTGTTGAAAACCCTTGGTTTTTTTTTTCCAATTAAATGATGTGTTTATTTACTTTGAACCCTTCAGTGAATGAGTAGGGGTACAAGTACCCCTTACTAATTCACAAGGGGGGCAGCATCTGGGTGCCCCTTTATTAAGGGGGGTACCCCAATGCAAATAAGCCCTCCTGCCCGCTGACCCCCACAACCAACGGTTCAGGGCATGTTGGGAAGAGGCCCTTGTCCTCATCGGGTTGGGGACAAAGTGCTTTTCCAGGGGTGACCTTGGAAAAGCACACTGCCAATGCCGAGGGCATGTGGCCTTGTATGGTGCAGAGTGGGTGACTACTTGCTTGTCCCCCCTTTCCTGCTCTACCAGGCCTGTGCTCGGATTGAGGGTCTGGTTGGGAATTTTAGTGGGGACCCCACATTTATTCCCCATTAGGGGTGGAGTTCCCCCTTTTAATTCCTACCAGACCTAAAGGGCCTGGTATGACTTTTGGGGGGAACCCCTCACACTTTCTTTTTAACATGAGGGGTCCCTCCTAACTTTCCTACCAGACCTAAAGGGTCTGGTATGGATCAGGGGGGACCCCACACCGTGTTTTTTTTCTTTGTTTACATTATTTTTGCGAAGAGAATGGTCTGCTTTGCTAGACAGTTCTACACATTTTAGCTGTGTGTTCAGCTCAGCCAAACCGAAGCACATGCGTTTGGCTTGGCTGATCTGTTCAGCTGCTAAACGGGCCATTGTGAATAGCCCGTACAGCAGCCCTCCGGTTCAGCTGTACCAAAGGGCTCCAGCAGCCGAAGTGAGCAAAAGGATTAGCTGAAGCTACGGCTATATCCTTCGGCTCAATAGTGAAACCTCGAAGTAAACCTAAATTTAATAACTTTGCTCAGAATAATAATAAAGATTGAATATATACAATTTTTACATACGTCTTAACATAAATGGCTGTTTTTAATTCTAGAGAAAATTAACTTTTCTTTTAACTGTGATTCACTGCAACCCTAAATATATTTTAGTTGAATTTCGGTCATATGAGGCATAAAAAACATAGACAGAGTTTGGTAATTTGCAGTATGTGACTATTGCTCTGTTTCTCTGTCTATTTCTCAAAAGAAACGTCACAGACAATGTACTATACATTTATGAAACTAGAATGCTGACATATTGAACAAGTCATTACATGGCGCAGAATATTCTTGCAATAGTTCAGCTATCTTTCAATCACGACAAGGTTACTCTGAAGCAGACATACAACAAAATAAACTGGAAGATGAAAAATCTGAGTGATGTGACTGGATTTTTGTTGGCACACATGTCAAGAGATTTCTCAGCATGGCTGCAAAGAGAATATCCCCTATCCCAGGAACTATCATTTTTGTTGACATTTTCATGATGGAGCATAAAAACAAGGGATCCCATTCTTTGGATTAGCATTCTAGTCTTTGTATTCAATATGAATGCTTCCAATTGCAGTGGACAAGATGTGCAGATAAAAAGGTCAGTTTTCATTATTTATTGCCCTAATTTCACAGTATTGTCACTGCTGCTGTTGGAATGTTTATGAATATATAAAGTAAAGCTTTGTTACGTGATTAAAATGTTTAGTTTATAAGAAGGCATACACTCATATAATATTTATAAAACAATTAATTTTTACTCATAACGTTGCTTGCACATTTCCAGAAATAGTTGTGAACTATGTTGTGATTTTAAAAAAGAATGTAAAAACCATCATAACTTCCCTTTTATGACCAATTTTATATTGTACGGCAAATCAAAGAAATGATCAACTCTATTTAAGTATTTTACCTTGTTTAATTATGCCTGAATAGGCATTTGAAAAATCAATGGAATAAAAAGGTTTGGAGAAAAAAATCTTCCAAGGTTACCCAAGAAATATGCTTCAAAATCCAAACAAATTATTAATATTTAAATGTACCTCTATAGCAAGGGTAGTGCCCTATTCAAGTCTATAGAATGGCAGCTCAGATATAGATTTTTAGGGGCCAGGCTGCAGAAATCATGAAAGGCCCAGCTGTTAGAGGAGGCTAAGTATGGACCTGTTGGAGGGAAGACCCAGATCTGTGTATTGAGTGGGCTGGGCAACTTTAGATTTAAATATGCACATGTACTTTAAAGCCACTATGTCATCTAGACATCTAGATTGAAGTTTCCTGGAAGAGAAGAAGTAGTGTACTCACCTCTTTAGTAACGTGTGCCTCCTACCTCCCCTCTGTGTCAATGCTGCAGCCTCTGTCAGTGTCTTTGGGAGTGTCAGATGCTTGTCGTGCACTGTGGTTCCATCCTACGCCTCCTACGGCACTACAAGATTTAGCAGTGACATAGGGGTTGGAAGATGGAACCAGGGTGAGGGACACATGTATACACAATGAATGTAATAACAAGCATTTTGTGATGACTGCTGTTAGGCAGAACTTGTACTTTTAAACATTTAAATTGTCTGAACGGTTTACTTCACATCATTTGTTTACTAAACTTGTCAACTTTGTTTTTCTGTTACTGAGTTATATTGCTAATGTAGTTTGTACTTCTTAGATAAACTAAGTAAAGGGCATGGTTATCTTACAGTTTAATGTAAGTCCTTTAGTGGGATTATTCTCTAGGAGAACATATTAAAATAGAGCAGGGGTCATGTGATATTACATTTTTAGATATATATGAGAAATATGCAAGTACACATATTTTATTACAAGGCACGTGGAGATATGTTAAAGCAACACTATATTTGTTACAACTTTGACCTTATACACATATGGCCCAAATCAGAAAATTTCTAGTCATTCCAGCTTCCATCTACTGATTTATGTACAATGCCAAATGGTGTTGATCTGCAGCAGGCTTGATTGATTACTACTATCTATGGACATCTTTCGTAAAGATAATTATTAAAACTTAACCTTTCTAGAAAATAATTTGCTATTTAAAATTCATTTATTGCTTTGACACAAGAGTTCCTCCTCTACTCACCGCAGAGCAACTATAGAAAGCATTTTAAATAAGCAGTTGAATGCCAGCAACAGAGGGATTTATTAGTTAACTAACCATGTATTATTTGGAACTGAAGAGCATAACTATGAAAGTCATTAATGAATACCACATCGATACCAGTTTTAACATCAATTGTCCTCCTGTCTAGTTAAGCTTTATGAATGTTGGCCCTAAACACTAATGAGCTTGTTAAATGCACTGACACAGTAAAAGAAGCCTACCTTAGGTTTGTTACAGCCATTAAAGAAAGCTGGGTTGCAAATTGGATCGCTGAGGTATGACTTGAGCAAGTTTGCTCTTAGTCCCTTTGGGGGTTCATTGGTCATCTTTATTCCATTTTGCAAGACTGATACAGGAAAATCTTGGGAGGGGTAACTGGTCAGCCATAAGCGAAAGCTGGAATTGGTCTTTTCAGGATCTGTGATCACTTCTTCACAGATGTGTTCAAGCTCTGTGAGCCAACTTGTGGCCAAGTGGCAGTTTTGAAGTACGACCCATGTCCCGTCTTCTGCTGCCTGCAAGAATCCACCAATGCTTTGAATAATAAATTAGCGAGCAAAATATTCACTTGTCAACAGATAAAATTAACGGTGAATCCCAAACAATCTGCAGAAAACCCAAACACAATTATCATCCAAGAAATTAAGTTATACAGACTCCGTGACCTTTAATCAATCATCCAACTGTTAATGTTAATTCCCTGATTTAAAAATCATAGACTTATTTGCATTTTAATGGCTATTAAATGACTGTCATTGTGAAGAAATAATAGATGCTTGGCCTTTTGGTATAAATTCCTTGCAATATATTTATGAGATATGAAAAAGTTAAAGACAGTGCAAAAGTTACCTGTGTAATATATTTTATATATTATTACAGAGTTGCAATTAAAAGTAACTTGATATGTGCATTGTGAGATTTATATACTCTTTAAAGGGAATATGTCACCAGAAATAGTACTTTTACATACTGCAGTTCAATAATTAGAAAAGGTAAAATGTTTCCTCAAAGTCTGTCAGTAACTGTATAAATGTTACAATGTAGAACAAAATTCACAGGCATACCTATGCTACATAATCATTTTTAGTGTCAGGGCATAGTAGCATTGAGAGCATTAACTCCAAGCTGCTTTCATGCAGTTTTCTAATATATCAGGAAGGGTAACAAAAACATATGCCAAAATTACAAATTTACTCCAGGGTAAACATTTATTTTTTAAAGAGATTACCAGCAACATTTTCTTCTGGTTTCTGTTTTATAGTTTGTCAGTATTTAACTGATTAAACAGAAACTAGAAAGCCATCACATTATTTATAACAAAATATGCTTAATGGAAGCAGATTATTTTAAAGGATCGAGAAAGGAAGGTATATCATTTGAATTTAAAAAAAAAAAAGAACACTTGTAATACAAGTCAACTCTGCAGTTTTTTTAAATCAAAGTAGTAGTGCACAGATCTCCTCTTTGTAAATGTCACACATTATAACTCTGGCAGACTGAGTCATCAGGTGTAACAGCCGCAGCCTGGTCAGTGCTGGCGCCGCGGCTCAGGGACGGACTGCGCAGGCGCGCCGTGGGTCGGTGGCCCCAGGCCGCCAACGTCAGAGGGAGACGTCCGCCGCTGCTTTACAGCGACGTCCTGCACAGGCGCGTGGGAGGCTTCCTCCGTCGCTTCCCCGTGACGCGGCCACGTCGGACGCAGGAGCGTCACGCAACTCCGCCCGTCCAGACGCAGCACCCGGCTTAAAAGCCGCAGCTCCGGTATTGATCGGCGTCTTCAGTTGAGTGTACTGGACGCTGACCAAACCAGCTCCTCACTCGCCCCCCTAAAGACCTCAACCACCTTATCCTAGCTGAGTTTTCAACCTCATTAACAGCAAGTACTCCGGAATACCGCATGCAGCAGTTTCTGTCTTCCACAAATAAGGTAAGTACGCTGGGAATACTATATACTGCATTTCCTGTCGTTGTACAATATAATCTGAATACTCTGGGAAATTGTATACTGCTTTACTGTCGTTGCATAAATAAGCTAAATACTCGGGGAATACCAACTTTGCATTGAGAGGTCCCAATCCTACCTGCATACTTAAAACGTCCATTGTTGTGTCCTCCCCCTGGTGCTGATCAGAGGTACAGCACAGTGGGGGCTGTTCCCTAAAGTAACCTCACGATTATACGGGGTGTGATGTGCTGCAACTTACTCTTGGCCTTATTCCAAAACTGGGCAAAAAGAGAATAAGTTGCTCTCTGATTCCCGTCCTATAGCGCTCCCGCTCATCTGCAGTTGTGATCCACTGTATCCCATAGGCCACACTCCAGGCGAGACGTTACAAGTTCCCAATCACAAGAAACATGCGGTTTCATCTCAATTAGTGGCATGTAAACAAATGGCTGGAGCAAGTTGTGACATCACGGGACTTTGGCCACCTATTTTTTTTCATTCCATACCAGCTCTCTGTCATCTAATGGAATGTAAACCAAAACTGGGCAAAAAGAGAATAAGTTGCTCTCTGATTCCCGTCCTATAGCGCTCCCGCTCATCCGCAGTTGCGATCCACTGTATCCCATAGGCCACACTCCAGGCGAGACGTTACACCAGGGAGCCCCTTTTCTGGACTAATTTGTGGCCCCTTCCCCATTTAACTAATCTAGCCCAATGTCCAGGTGTAAAAGATAGTGGAAGGCATTGCATAAACAATATGAAACACATCTGGTAAAAATTGGACCCCCTACCCAGATAGCAAGGATAACTTGCCACAAACTTGTGCCAGGGTTAAATTGAAATTCTTTCTAACTTGCTGCACACATTCCTGGCAAGTTGTAGACTTGCAGAACATTTGCAGCACAAGTTTTTGAAGCAAATTTGCTTAGCAAGTCTACAGCAAGAGTCCTACAGGTCCTAGCAAGAGCTCTGCAAGCTCGCTGGTCTGGAAACTTGCAATGCAGACTTGCTGTAATTGTGCAACAAAATTGTGAAGCTTGGCAAGTCTGCAATAGTTTAGCAAGTCATTTTCAAACTTGCAGCTCAATTACTTGCTATCTGGGTAAGTCCCAAAGGGTCTTTTTTCATTTGCACAAATGGTATGTCCACTCCTGCATGTCAACCTAATATGTAAACAAATTGCATCTAAACATTCCAAACCAATAATGGAAACCATGAACGATTGTGAAACATGCCTTTATAAATAGGTACTTTTGTGAAATCGGAAAATCCAAACAAGTGAACAGACATTTTAAAAATAGCCCCCTCTGTAAATCTAGAAAGGGTGCAGAGACCTTGTGTAAGGGTTAAATTGAAATTCTTTCTAACTTGCTGCACACATTCCTGGCAAGTTGTAGACTTGCAGAACATTTGCAGCACAAGTTTTTGAAGCAAATTTGCTTAGCAAGTCTACAGCAAGAGTCCTACAGGTCCTAGCAAGAGCTCTGCAAGCTCGCTGGTCTGGAAACTTGCAATGCAGACTTGCTGTAATTGTGCAACAAAATTGTGAAGCTTGGCAAGTCTGCAATAGTTTAGCAAGTCATTTTCAAACTTGCAGCTCAATTACTTGCTATCTGGGTAAGTCCCAAAGGGTCTTTTTTCATTTGCACAAATGGTATGTCCACTCCTGCATGTCAACCTAATATGTAAACAAATTGCATCTAAACATTCCAAACCAATAATGGAAACCATGAACGATTGTGAAACATGCCTTTATAAATAGGTACTTTTGTGAAATCGGAAAATCCAAACAAGTGAACAGACATTTTAAAAATAGCCCCCTCTGTAAATCTAGAAAGGGTGCAGAGACCTTGTGTACAATGATGATAGAAACCGACAATCCCTTACTACTATGATTTAGTGCAACCACTGTAAAGATAAGAGTAAAATGTAAATTGTAAAAAGTAATTGATAAGCAGAGCATACAACTTGGAGCATTGGGTACAAAAAACTGATTTCAAATGAATGGTTCAGAAACAACTAAGGCACATGTAATAATTTCATATTCCAAAGGATTGCTGCACACAGGGGATGAGCACTATAATATACCTGACTCCAGGTATATGATGAGCTTCTTGACTCTAAAGGAACTTAATAATCCCCAATACAGTATTCTGGGTGACAAAAAACAGTCAGTGGAGCACACCAGTATGATATTCAACATGACAACTTTGTGTAGAAAGAACAATATCCACTCACATTAGGACTTGGAAGATTGTGCTGAAAACCCATCCAGCGTGAGCAGATTAGGCCAGTCCATTATCTTTCTGTGTAATGTGGCATCTGAGGCTGGAGGGACAAGGGACTGGCTCATAGCTTGTGAAAGAACCGTGTTCTTGGGAGGTGGATTTGCCCACTGATAGAGCTTTCACTTCTAGGCTCAGTTTCATAGGTAACACATTTTATTGACACAATTCTCTTTGTCAAGCCTACTTGGGATTGTTAAATTAACAGTGTTAAATACGGCACAGTTGAGGGCAGGAGGATAATGGATTAAGTACATGGCATAAGGGACAAAATTAGTGCCAATACACTTGACTTGGGTTTTCTGCAGATTATTTGGGATTCAAAATTGATCATAATAAAAGACACATTGGTATAATTGTTATAGAGTACCAACAGTTTGGGCAGCGCTTTACAATATAAGGAAGACATTACAATACAATTCAAGACAAGACGGTAAGGGAGGCTCTGCCCGTGAGTAAAAAGTATAAAAATAATACATTAAAAGCCATGTCACAACCTTATATGTCTAAGTTTGAGTTGTAACATGTTGCAACTGCCTCTAGAAACATCAAACTGGCTGGAAACAGAAGTATATTTATTTAGAATAAGGGACTATGTTGAATTTATAAACAATTATGAAATAGTATATTCCCCATTTAAATCAGCAGGTGACATAGTGTTATGCCTATACTGTATATCCAGTATGTTTCCCGGTTACAAAGCTTCCAAAATCAATCAGCCTGTGGGAAGCTTGGGGACAGGGTTCAAATGGTAAATACCTTAAGTCCTTCTGTGCTTTTTTACACAACCCCCCACACACAGATAACATATACGTGCATCAGTGTGCACTATATTGTGGTGTACATCATGCACATTGTTAGAACGCATCACAGTGCTTGATTTTTTCTTTTTAAAATAACATTAATTTAACTGTGGTAGTGCATGGTAAAGTGTTGTGATATGCTGTGTTGTGATTAAATGTATGCTTGTATCATTTTATCACAACATACACACCCACACAGTGCACAATGATTTATAACATATGTTGCTTATTTACAGTTTTGCATTACTTCTTTTTTTACCATTTTGCAAAAATTAAAAATGTACAACTATTTGTTATTTACAGTACAGTTTTATCTTTTAGATTTAGTCATAAAAGTATTTTTTTGTGCACTGATACTGATTCTAGTGTGCTTTTATCAATTTAATTGTGTATTTTTATCGGTTTAATATTGATTTGATAAATTCATTGATTTGCGCAATTACCTACAAAATTAGTAGCACCATCTTTTTATTCTGCCGGGCCTGTGCTTTCAGAAAATATATGGTTTGGGGGTTCTTTTACAAACAACAATGTAGCAATAGAAATTCAAAACAATGGGAAAAATTGCAAAAATGGTGTGGCCAGCTGAGGTTAAAAGCATTCCAGAGGGCTCAGCAGGGAAAGGGTTAATAGTTGACTAGTTTAATTCAGCAGCTTGTTCAAAAATTGCAGTCAGTGTGATCATGATATGTCGAGATGATCTAACTACTTTGCTGAACTGAATCTTCTTTATTAAGAGAAAGACAATAAATAAAATGAAAGCATCTGTTATGTATATAGAAAAGGCTTATCTAGACTTAGCTTTTTATTAACAAAAATGTGCAAGCAATTAGTTCACTATTGCATTGAAAAAAAATGTTCTGTACAGATCCCCATGTAAGTGCCACTCTCTTTACTATTTCTCTTAAGTTTCTCTTTTAACACTTTAAAGCACTTTACCTTTTCAATCATTTTTCGAGCAATAGGGCCTTGACCTTGGCCCAGAGAAATAGTCTGAAGATTGATACCACCCATGTCTGAAAGAAAAATGTGTAAGTGGTTACACTTATGTTTAGTTCTTAGATGCTGAAACAATGAAGTGTAGTAGAAGAAAAAAATAGGAGCTTTTCACTTACAATACAATAGCCACACAAAAAAAACAGTACAGCCTCACATTATTCTATAGCTGCTGGTCTGCTTAAAACAAAACTCCAATCATATACTTAATAGTTTAAATAATGAATAACTAAATAACAAATAAATAATGCATCTCTGCACACAACTATGGGGTCTATTCATGAAGCAGCCGAAGGATCTAGCCATAGCTTCGACCGATCCTCCGGCTAGCTTCGGCCCCAGGACCACTTCGGTTCAGTAGAACCGAAGGGCTGCTGTACGGGCTATTCACAATAGCCCGCACAGCTCCCGAACTTAGCCGAGCGGCTCAGTCAAGCCGAAGGCCGACAGCCTGCTTCCGACAGCTGGGCGGAGCCAGGCTCAGCTAACCAGGGACACTGATCTCCAGACAGCAAACTCTCCCGGGTGCTCCGGGAGTCTCTCGCTCCCGGCCGCCCAGGAGAGAAACACTGCTTTTTCTTTTTTATTCTGACACGGAGCCGTGTCCGAATAGAAAAAATAAATAAATACATTTTGCCCATAGGAATGCATTGCTAGATTCCTATTGGCTATTTCAATTTGCAATAGCCGATAGTAAACTAGCATTGTACACGCCCTCTCCTGCAGTTCTCCATCAGGTCCATCAGATTCCTATAGGCTATTGCAAATTGAAATAGCCAATAGGAATCTAGCAATGCATTCCTATGGGCAAAAATTATAATTTTTTTCTATTCTGACACGGCTCCTTGTCAGAATAAAGAAAAGAAAAAGCAGTGTTTCTCTCCTGGGCAGCCAGGAGCGGGAGACTCCCAGAGCGCCCAGGAGAGTTTTTTCTTCTTTTTTTTTGACGGCAGCAGAACCGCCGGACAATAGAACACTGTTGGGCGGAGCTAGCTGTCATTGCTTGCTCCACACAATCGTTTTCTATTTATTTTTTGTACTTTTTAACTATTTTTCTGTTCTGCTCGGTCCCTCTGAGGGACCGAGCAGAACAGCCGAGCCGAATGCCGCTCAGCAGCATTCGGCTATTCACTCACTGCTGTTCGACATCTAAATGAATAGACAGAACAGCAGTGAGTAGCCTGCCGGAGGTTCGGCTTAGTCGATCCAGATGTTGGATCGGCTGAGTCGAACTCCTCCTGCAGTTCAGGTCGGCCGAACATGCGACCCGAAGCCACGTGAAGCCCGATATACGGCTGAAATCAGCCGTACCAGCCTGAAGTGAATAGCCGAACAGCGTTCGGCTCCCTTCACTTCAGGTCGCCCTTTCACTCGGCTGCCTTCAGTAGTAGACCCCTGTCTTATTTTAGACAGACATAAACTGAGTGCTATAACTCCCTTCTTTATAATTGTATGTAATTTTATGTTGAAATCAGGCACAGTAGAGGCATAATACATTTCCCTGATGAAGTCACAAGGATGGCAAAACATGATGGGAATTGGGAGAGCTAGCACTTCAGCAATTCAGTGATGGAGGCTGATTAGAATTGTAATGGAATAAGAATTCAATTATAAACAAACTTTTTATAGTCCCTCAATAAAGAAAATAACATAATATAGCATACCACTTCCAACTACACTCTCCTTTACATCAAATGACAAAGAAAGTAAACGAGAAGTTAATTAGAGAAGAACTCCAGGCAATTGAAATATTAACCCTTGCAGTGGGGCTACCCCCACACTGCAAGGGTTAACTGCTCGTTTTGGTCTAGGGGCTAAAATATGGAAGCTGATTTTTATTGGGTTACTGTGAATAGTATGAGATATGGTTTCAAATTTGGAGCAATTGATATGACCAAACACAACCCATAAACACTTAATTGGGAGGAACAATAATGTATAATCCAGGACCTAAACAGAGGCGTCCCCAGGCCGGGTGTCACCCTGTGCAGCCGTCGGGTTTCACTCGCTGGGATGTCATCGTGCACGTGTGTAATGTCATCACGCACACTTAGCTGCTGGCGGCTATTTCTGTGATATATCCCAGCAGAGAGATGAGGGGACATTCCTCTGGCGGGATAAGGTATGCTGCCGGGTCCCCTCGTCTCTCGTGCAGCTGTTGGACTCTCAGTCCATGACCGACTTTTCAGAGGGCATGACACCAAAATAACTGCCAGCCATTTTGGTGTCACCCCCTCCCCTCTATAGGTGTTGATCGGTGCAGGCCGCACCCTCCTTGTGACACCACTGGACCTAAAGGACCCAGTGATAAAATATGACTATGTGATTGCTGCCTTTATTACATAATGTTAAAAGCACAGCTTACATTCTACAAATTAGGCAATGCACCTATTGGATTATAACAACTAAGGTATTTTACCTACAGAATTCCGACGAAAAATAAACACACAGGCCCTTATGAGGTATGGGGACCTCATAAACACAAAGGATATTTGTAATATTTTTCTTTCAACAGAAAGGGTTGATGTTCTTCTAAAATTGCACTGATTTACAATTTACATACAAACAGTGCTAGGTCTTCTTAATGACCTATGTGTCTGCATTGTGCTCTTCAGTAACAGATGCTTTCAGTAGCACAAGGTAGCTGTAACAAAACTAATTATTTTAAAATGGTTTGCCCTGACTACATTTGTTCTCTGAGAATGTGCTGGATTAAGTCTACATTTTTTCACTTTCCAATGGATAGGAAGCAGCTAGCTACATAAGAAAATGGACATTGTATATGGGCCAAAAGGCAATTAACTGCCATCAAATCGACCTTTACTAGTTACAGCTACCACTTAAAAATATCACATAAACAAGCATCCTAACAAACTGGCAATAAACCAAGTAATAGCTGTCAGTGCTCTTTCCTACACTATGTACAGCATCTTTGGCATAGCAATGGGAAAAGATGTTGATGATTTCCAATGATAACAATGGGGGATAACGAGTGGTAAAATGTTACACCCCTTGACAAATCCAGAACATAGCCAAGAGTAACACTGTAAAAGCATACTAAAAAGATCAAATTGGGGAGATTGAGATTCTGAAATGATAGTTTGTGCCGACTAAATTGAAATGTGATTATTTGGCTTGTTTTCATATCCTTTCACTAATAGCTAGCAGAAACTTGGCAGCTTGTCAGAAATAATGGTGTTTCCATCACACAAATATGTAATTGACTACCACTCTTGCTTCCCATTCTAGCCTTAATTCTGTAATACTGACAATGATGTGCTGGCTGCTACTTTTTTACATTCTGCATCTCCTTTTGTTTACCTTGAAGGTTAAGTTTAGCAAAATAACATTAATGTGCATCCAGATATTTTATGACTGTTAAAAACATTCATCTGATTGGACTCCGAGTGGATATTTAGCATTGTTGCTTGTTTGTAAAGGAAGGGAAGGGGGAAGTTAGTTATGTGTTGTCCATTAGATTTTAATAGAAAATACATAAATAAATAGATACTCACATGCATACTAGATATAAAGCCTAGCATATTTATAGCTGCAATAGGAAGAGAGTTCTATAGACAGCTTAAAAAGCTTCTAAGAGGCATTTTATATTAGACTACAGCTGCAAGGGAACCCC